CCCCCAGGGGCCTCTTGACCTACTTCATCAGCTGCCCCTTTGTTGTCATCATTGCTGTCATACTTGTCCCAAAGCATCAACTCCCCCACGTAAAGATTTCTGTCTGTCTTGTTCACTGCTGGGTCCCCAGTGCCTGGTACAGTGCCTGGCACACCGCCAATGCCCTATAAATATCGGTTGAGTGAATTTGTTCATTAAATTTCTATGAAACTCGGCGTTAGGCCATCTTCTCTGATGCTTCGCTTCATAAAAATTTCATTGCATTTCAAAGTAAGGCTTAAGTTAGGTCTCCCTTTGCAAGAATCTCAGCGTCTGCATGACTGATTCCAAGAAACCGCAGCCAATTCTAAATTAAACAAGTAACTCAGAACACAGAAAAAAGAAAAACAAGAGAAAAAAAAAAAAACGCACATTGCTGTCGCATTGATTCTGACTTAGAGAGTCCCATGCATTACAGAATACAACTGACCTGTAGGGATTTTGAAGCTGTGGTACAGAGGGGTAAGAGGTAAGCATTAGGCTGTTAACCACAAGGTCGGCAGGCAGTTCAAACCCATCTGTCACTCTGAGGGAGAAAGATGAGGCTGCCCACTCTCCTAGATTCAGACTCTCAGAAACCCTAAGGGTTGCCATGAGTCCGATTTGAATAGACAGTAGTGAATTAATCTCTTTACAGAAGCAGATTGCCTGACCTTGCCTGCGTGGTACTTATGGGTAGGTTTGACTCAGTAGCCTTTAGATTAGTTGGTGAGCACAAACTGTTCGAGCCACTCAGGGACCTCAAGTTACTCATTGTCATATATATATATATCTATATGTAGGGAGTCCTGGTGTGGTGCTGTAGGATAAGCACTGGACTGCTAAACCAACCCACCAGGTGCTCCTTGGAAACCCTATACAGGGACACAATGAGTCAGAACCAACTCAACGACACTTGACAACAACAAATACATAGCGAGAAGGAGAGGGAGAGAGAAAGAACTGGACTGCTAACCTGTTAGGTTGGCTATTCAAACCCCACCAGCTGCTCCACAGAAACTCTATACACAGCCGTTGTGAGTCAGAAGCACTTTTCTCAGTAACACACGTGTCTTAGTCTTGTTGGTGGTGGTGGTGGTGGTGGTGGTGTGCCGTGGAGTCGGTTCCAACTCATAGTGCGCCTGCATATTTTTTCTGGCGCTGTAAATCTTCACAGGAGCAGAAAGCCTCATCTTTCTCCCATGGAATGACTGGTAGTTTGGAACTACTGACTGTGAGATTAACAGCCTGACTTGTAACCACTATGCCACCAGAGCTCCTTTTAGTCTTGTTAGGATGCCTTCAAAAAACAGTGACTTCCGAGAGGATCTGCTAGATCCGTTCAGTTCAAGGCTATGGAGACTGGAATTCCAAAGGAATCATTCAAGTAGATTTTCTCAAAGGACACAGGATGATTATGGCAGGGGGAAGACGGGGTTGAAGAGCTTGTATTAGGAAGAAGTTTCCAAAAAACCTGAAAACTGCATTGGTAAGAAGGTGGTTAGGGAAGTTGCACTGTGTTGAGGAATTTTTTTCCATCACAACAAAGCACCTGCTTATCCTTGGAGGATAGCCATGTCTGTCCTATGAGAATTGTGTTGGAGAACCTTATGCCGGTCACTCATCAACTCTGATTTTGCCCCTCCAAACTTCTTTTTGTTCTCAAAACTCCATGAATATTGTAAAGAAGCATGATTTCAGTCCCTCCAAGATGCTAAAACTACTGTTTTGAGATGTGGTGTAAATCAAAAAGTGCCGAATTCTTTGAGGAATGGCTAGAGAGATGGAAACACCACAGTCAGAAGTATACAGGCCTACATGAAGCTATGTTGAGAAACAATAGCTTCACATTTTGACATTTTTATTTAATAAAGGTTTTTATGATTTCTCCCCCTTCACCTAATTTGATGTGCATTTACCATCCAGCCAGTGACCTACCCACCCCTTTCTTCCAACCCCTGGTAACCTTCAAAGAATGTTTCTTTCCATCTGAATTTTTTTTTTTTTTTTTTACAATAGAGGTGGTGGTGGTTATGTGCCATGGAGTCGGTTCCAACTCATAGCAACCCTGTACAGGATTTCTGAGGCTGTAAATCTTTACAGGAGCAGTTGTTGTTGTTGTTATGTGCCGTGGAGTCGGTTCTGACTCATAGCGACCCTGTACAGGGTTTCCGAGGCTGTAAATCTTTACGGGAGCAGAAAGCCTCATCTTTCTCCCACGGAGCGGCTGGTAGTCTCGAACTGCTGACCTTGCGGTTCGCAGCCCGATTCGTAACCACTACACTAATAGCCTCATACAAAATGTGTCCCTTTGTGATTGAGCAGTTTCACTGAACATAGTGTTCTCCAGGTTCCTCCATGTTATGAGGTGATGGGCAGATTCACTGTTACTCTTCAATGCTGTAGTATTGCATTGTGTGTATGAGCTCAAGTTTGTTTAATCATTCTTCTGTTGACAGACATTTAGGCTGTCTCCATGTTTGCTATTGTGAGTAATGCTTCAGTGAACATGGGTGTGCATGTATCTATGTATCACAGCTCTTATTTCTTGAGGAGATACAAGCATAGTGGTTACCAATCGGGCTGCAAATCTCACAGTAAGCCTTTGAAACTACCAGCTGTTCCACAGAAGAAAGATGAGGCTTTCTGCTCCCGTAGATTTACAGCCTCGGAAACCCAGTACAGGGTCACTATGAGTTGGAACCGACTCCACAGCACATAACAACAACAACAACGGCTAATGGTGGTGAACATTTCTTCATACATTTGTTAGCTGCTTGAATGTCTTCTTTGGTGAAGTTGTTTTGTTTTGTCCTCTGCCCATTTTTAATTATATTACCTGTCGTCTTCTTGTTGAGGTGTTGAAGTATTCTATACATTTTACAGACCAGTAGTGCCTTGTCTGATATATCATTACCAAAAAGTTTTTCCCAGTCTGTGGGTTCTCATTTTACTCTTTTGGTGACCTCTATGGAAGCAGAGGTCAAGTGGAGAAAAAGAGGAAGACCCCCAATGAGATAGATTGGCCAGGTGGCAGCATCGATAGACTCAAGTGTGGCAATAGTAGTGAGGTTGGTCCAGGATCGGACATTGTTTCGTTCTGCTGTGCATAGGGTCTCTATGAGTTGGTGCCGACTCGATGGCACCTAACAACAACAACGATAGAAGCAAAGCACATAAGTGTCTAATTTTTAGGAGGTCGTCTATTTTGTCTTCGCTGTTTGTTTATTATCAGCTATGTTTGATGGTGTATTTATGCCATGTACCAGAGCACCTGAGTTTGTTCATACTTTTTCATTGATGATCTTTAGAGTTACAGGTTTTACATTTAGGTCTATAATCCAGGTTGAGTTCCTTGTGTATGGTATGAGAGATGGGTCTTGTTTCATTCTTCTACAAATGGTTATCTATTTTTGCCAGTATCATTTGTTGACAAGACTATGTCTTCCCCATTTAATGTGTTTTGGTCCTTTGCCAAAAAGCAGCTGAGTGTAGTTGGATAGATTTCCTTCTGGGTTCTTGATTCTGTTTCACTGATCTGTGTGCTATCACTGAACCAGTACCAGGCTGTTCTTAATACTGTGGTTGTGTAGTAGGTTTTGAGATCAGAAAGTGAGAGGCTAATTACTTTGTTCTTTAGTAATGATTTATTTAATCAGGGATGGCTTTCATTTCCATATAAATTTGGTGATTAGTTTTTCCATCTCTTTGAAGAATGATGGTAGAATCTGGATTGGGATTGCATAATATTTATAGATTAATTGTTTTGGGTAGTGTTGACATTTTCACAATGTTAAGTCTTCCTATCCATGAGCATGGTATATTCCACCATTTCTGATGGTCTGTGTTGGTTTCTTGTAGTAGTGTTTTGTAGTTTTCTTTGTTTAGGTGTTTTGCTTCTCTGGTTAGACGTATTCCTTAATCAGTCTTTTGGGTGGCTATTGTAAATGTATCCTTTTCCTGATTTCCTTTTCAGAGCTCTCTTTATTAATGTTAAGATATCCAACTGATTTTTGTATGTTGATCTTGTACCCTGCCACTTTGCTGAATCATTCAATGAGTTCTAATCATTTTCTTGTTGAGCCTTTGGGATTCTCTAAGTATAAGATCATATCATATGCAAATAGAGAGCATTTTACTTCTGCTGTCCAATTCTGATAACTTTAAGTTCCCTTTCTTAGCTCTGACTAAGACTTCCAGCTCAATGTTGAACAGGAGCCTTGCCTGGTTCCTGTTCACAAGGGGAATGTTTTCAGTTTCTCTTCATTGAGAGTGATGTTGGCTGTGGGTTTTTGAATATATGCCCTTAATTATATTGAGCAATTTCCCTTCTATTCCTATTTTGTTGAGTGCTTTTATCAGGAATGGGTGTTGGATTTTGTCAAATGCTTTTTCTGCATCAGTTGATATGATCATGTGGTCCTTTTCCTTTGTTTTATTTATGTGGTGGATTCGTTTGTTTTTCTAATATTGAACCATCCATTGCATACCTGGTACAAATCCTACTTGATCATGATACATTATTTTTTGGATATGTTGTTGGCTTCTTGGTGAATTCTTTTGATGCACTGAAGTGTCTAATTTGTAGGAGGTCCAAATCATATAATGTGTTTTCAGTTGTGTTTGATAGTGTTTCTCTGCCATGTTAGGACCCTTAAGTTTGTCCCTATTTTTTCACTGAGTTGTAGGTTTTACATTTAAGTCTGTGATCAATCTTGAGTTTATATCTGCATACAGTATGAGATATGGGTCCTGTTTTATTCTTCTGCAAATGGTTTTCCGGTTTTTGCAGTACAGAGTTCTATGTTTCTATAGCAGTATGTTTTTACTTACCCTCGTGTGTGTATGTGTGTGTGTGTGCATTGTAAAGTTGGTAGGATGTGGACTACAGTGTCCAAAACTAAGGGAACATGGAAGGGTCAATCCAAGTCATTGTTCCCATTTTACAGATGCAAAAGACACCTTCTGCACCCATGAGCTCCATGCAGTTGCCACAGGATGAAGCGGACCTTGCCAGCCAACCCTGGTACCATGGCCCCCTGTCCCGCCAGGTACTACCTCCTGCAGGGTCCCAGAACCATCTGTGAGGACCTTTCCCCACCCTGGACAGGCTGAGGACTTCTGAGTCCTGGTCCAGTGGTTCAGGACCAAGGTCTGTTGGAAGGGTGGCTGGGGATTGGAGACTGTGTTGAAGTTTGGTCGGCTTGACACTATCATTCCTTATATTTAAATTGTCACTTTCTTGGGGATGTTGGGAAGGGTGGTGATGGAGATCAAACAGGAGCCTAATACCTGCGCCCCAAAATCACTTACTGGCCTCACTTTTCTCTCCTTCTGGGTCTCAGACACCTGTGGCCAGTAGGGCTCCATCTCTCTCCCTGCATGATTATATTTTAGAATGTATCCTAAACTGGTATGACCTTCAAGGACTGACTATTACACTAGGTTGCTTTGTGGAATATGATTACACTGTATTAGATTACATTATGTGAGGTCATTACATTATATTACATTACATTACATTACATGGAAGGTGATAACATTATACTGATTGCATCTATAGATACACGATTCCAACACATACTTTGGGGGCACAATTCAGTCCATAATACAAGGATTACATGACCCAGTCTCTGCCACAGAAGTTTAATTGGAGTGCCTTTTGTTCCTGGGGCGGGGAGGGGGGCGGTCACCATTCACTGCTGATCGGAGGCCATTCCTAACCGTCCTGTCCTTTGTGCCCCATGCCAGAAGGCAGAGGCTTTGCTCCATCAAGATGGAGACTTCTTGGTTCGTGCTTCCGGCTCTCGTGGGGGCCACCCAGTGCTCACCTGCCGCTGGCGAGGCTCCGCCCTGCATTTTGAGGTGCTCCGCGTGGTGCTGCGACCCCGGCCAGGCAGGCCCCCTGTCCTCTTTCAGCTCGAGGACGAGCGCTTCCCCAGCCTGCCAGCCCTGATCCGCAGCTACGTGACTGGCCTGCGACCCCTGTCCCAAGCCACAGGGGCCGTGGCCTCCCGGCCTGTAATCCACCAGAGACCTTTGCGGCGCAGCGTTAGTGACGACATCCTCATAGACAGCTCGGTGCCCAGAGAGCCACTCAGGTATTTGTGACAGTCAACCTGGCCACCATCAACATTTAACCAACCAGCAACCTTTAAGTCCATCATGACTCATGGTCACCTCGTATGTGTGCTGCATAAACTTTTCAATATGTAATTTCAAAAGTAGGTTGACAGGCCTTTCTTCTGAGGTACCTCTTTGTGAACTATTTAACTAGTTCAGTTAGGAGTGAGCATGTTAATGGTTTGAACCTCCAAAGGGTTCTTATTAACATTTGAGGCTGGGGAGTCCTGGTGTGGTGCTGTGGGATAAGCACTAGACTGCAAGGGTTGGCAGTTCAAACTCACCAGCCACTCTTCAGATCCCTACACAGGGTCACTATGAGTCAGAAACAACTCAACAGCTCTTTGCAACAACAATTCTCTGTTTATGGGGAGACATTGTAAGGTGTTTAGCAACGTTCCTGCCCTCTACCTCCTAGAAAGCATACACACACACCCCAGTAGGGACAAACCACAAATGCCTCCAGACATCACCAGTTGCCCCTGAAAGCAGAATCATCCTGGCTGAGAGCCTCTGGTTTAAGAATGAATGGATGCAGGGCTTTCTGGCCTGTGGTGGGACTTCCTTGTTTTGTCTGGAACTATGCCTCCATCTCTGCCCACAGGACTAGGAAGTACAGTGACAGTCAGCCGGCAGGTCTGGAGTGTATAGGGCAGTCAAGACAGGAGCCCCCTGGATCAGGTAAGAGTCTACGAGTGTGACCTGGAACAGATAATGTAGCCTCATCTTCTTCCTCTGGAAAATGAAGACAATTATGCCCTCAAAGTTGTCACAGGGACTTTGTGGTTTGGTGGTTATGTGCCGTGGATTCGGTTTTGACTCATAGCGACCTTCTGCAGCCAGGGTAAGGGCCCCGAGGCCAGAATAAGAATTTATTCCTTCTACCAGAAGGAGGCGTGTGGAGCTATAGTGACAGGAGAGAAGGGGAAAAGAGAGGTCCCAAGACTCATATGGTGAGGGATTCTTTCTGGTCACTGTGAGGACCCGTACTCAGAGTTGGGAACCTCAAGAGAGTTTTGTGTTGTTCTTTTAAACATTTTATTTTCTCATTGTGTGTTTTTTTAAAATGTTTTATTGTGAATTATGTGATAGTTTACATGGACGAACATTAGCTTTATATTCATCCTATTGTATATTGTTTCATTGCCATGATTACAATCACCTCCATGCAACATCAACCAACCAAAGGGTATACACTACAAGCCTGCCCCTGGTCCTCAGCACACAGCCCCTCTCCCGCTCTGGGTCTAGAGTTCCCAGCTGCTCCATCTCTTCACGTCATCATCTCTGCCTCCATCTCAGGCATCACTGTTTCTCTGGGTAGGGTCCCGCTCTCCGCTCTTCTCCCTTGATGGTCCCAGGAACCTCCATTCCTGGACTGCAAAGTCAATCATTCCCCTTCTTTGCTACAAAACGTCTACCTTTACGTTTCCAACCCTCACAGTCAGTCCTGATAACAATTATTCACTATTGTATCACAAGAGACCTTTCCCCATCTCCTTTCATCAGCCCCACCCAGACAGATTGGATACTACTCAATGGAGTAGTATCCACGCCCTCTGGAAAGCTTGTAAGCCAGTCACTTCTTGCCTTTGTAGCACCCCCATTTTAGGCAGCCAATGTCCAAGTTGCCCATCCCTGTCTACCCTGTGTATGGAGGGGGTGGGTCACGACAGTTTGAAGTAGCTGTTGACTCATGGTGACTTTGGGTGACATAGTAGAACTGCCCCATAGAGTCTCCTAAGCTGTCATCTTCACTGAAGCCAACTGCCAACACTTTGTCCCATGGAGCCACTGGGTGAGTTCAAGCAGCCTAGCGCTTAACCACTGTGCTACCAGAGCTCCTTTAAATCCCTGGAACACAGCCCATTTAAATGCCGATAGATACAAGAGGGCTTCCAGAAGTTCATGGAGAAATTCCATCATCTTTTCATTCCATTTTCCATGAACTTTTTTTTTCTTAAATGTTTTATTGTGAATTATGTGATAGTTTACATGGGAGAACATCAGTTTTACATTCATTCTATCGTATATCGTCTCATTGCCATGGTTACAATCCCATCCATGCCATCCTTCTCCAGTACCCCCCAGGTCTTCAGCACACAGTCGCTCTCCCTCTCTGGGTCCAGAGTCTCCAGCTGCTCCATAGCTCCACGTCATCATCTCTGGCTCCATTTCAGGCATCACTGCTTCTCTGGGTAGGGTCCCACTCTCTGCTCTTCTCCCTTGATGGTCCTAGGGACCTCCGCTCCTAGACTGAAAAGTTAATCACTCCCCTCCTTGCTATAAAACATCTACCTTTACATTTCCAACCCTCACAATCAGTCCTGATAACAATTATTCACTATTGTGTCACAAGAGACCCGTCTGCATTTCATTGCATCAGCTCCGCCTAGTCAGATTGAATACTACTCACTGGAGATTCTACCTTCCTCCAGGCCCTCTGGATCTAGGTTCCCTCTTGAAAGCTTGTAAGCCAGTCACTTCTTGCCTTTGTAGCCCTCCTCCCCCATTTTGGGTAGCCAATGTCCAAGTTGCCCATCCCTGTCTACTGTGTGTGTGGAGGGGGTGGGAATGATTCTTGCTGTAAGGACTTGTTCCCTCTTCTGAGCTACTGCTTCCATAGGTGTAGGTCAAGTTCATCAAATTGTATGAGAATACTTTTTTTTTTTTTCCTCTTCTTTTTACTTCTGGTTGAGCTCTGATCATCCAGTCACTGAAGCCAGGATAAGTGGGTATTATCTGCAAGTGTGGGTGTTCTTATGTATGTGCCCCTTCTTATCAGCTGGACGCTTCACTCTCCACTCTAGTCCTCTGTGGCTATGTCACTGACTCTGGGCCCAAGAGTCCCCAGGTCTTGCCACACTGCTGGCCAACCAGGTCTTCATCCGGGTTCACAGAAGTCTATTGAACATTGTAGGGCTTAGCTCACCAGTTTATCCATGAACTTTTGGAAGCCCTCTCTTAGCGAGTCTCCCAAAAGTACTGGTGCAGTTTTAAGCTCAAATCACCCCGTAAGTAAACATGCCAAAAACTTCCAAAAGACATCCCAAGTCAAGGATGCACACTTGTTTTTGATTCGTTGCCATCGCGTCAGTTCTGAGTCCTGGAGACCCCATGTGTTACAGAGTGGACCTGCCCCGTACTGTTTCCTTGGCTGTCATCTTTCATCTTTTTTTTTTTTTTTTAATCCAAAACTTTTTATTGTGAATTGGGTGGAGGTCTATAGAGCAGATCATCGTTTTATATTCAATACATCATAACACTTCTTCGTTTCATGCCACTGATTACAATCCCCTCCGTGTAACATCACTTCCTGTCTCTGCTTCTTGTTTCCGGTCCACCTTCCTTCCCCACCCTTCTGAACTTTGACCTTGGGTAAAAGTTGGCCTTGGACATTACCTGTATAGCTGCCTTGGACGTTACCTGTATAGCTGCAGATCACCGCGCCTTCTTATGCCCAAGACTGAGACTTTAATGTAAAGTTTGCTGTCGGAACCATTTGTGAGTGCACACTCTACTGGCATTGTTGTTAAGTGTCAACTCTTAGCAATCCTGTATAGGGTTTCTGTGGAGCAGCTGGTGAGTTTGAACTGTTGAGTTGTGGTTCAAACCATCCTTGTGTTCCGGTGCTTAGCCTACAACACTGAACCACTAGGGCTCTAAAATGTGGGTAGCCATCGGCACTAGTCATTTCCAGATCTTTTGGACCATCCAAAACAGAAATTCTGTGCTCATTAAAACCAAACCTTTCAATCAAACCCATTCCACTGAGTTAATTACAACTCATAGTGACCCTACATAGGGTTTCAGAGACTGTAAATCTCTATATAAGCAGACAACCCCATCTTTCTCCCCGGAAGTCACTGGTGGGTTCAAACCATTGGTTTTGTGGTTAGCAGCCCAATGCCTAACCCACAGCGCCACCAGGCTTCCTTTGTGCTCATTAAACAACTTGCCATGCCCCGCTTTCCAGACCCTCAGAACCTCTGGTCTACTTTCGTTCTCTATGAATTTACTTTTTTGTGAACTGAGTGATAGTTTACATGGGAGAACATTATCTTTACACCATCATTTCATTGCAATGACTACAAGCCCTTCCATGCGTCATCATTCAACAGTATTTGCTTCCATTCCCTCTGGGTTTTTTTGTTGTTGTTGTTGTTTGGGGGGCTGGGGATTATGTACACACAAACACTCAGGAATATATAATCACTTAAACAACCAAAGGGCACATTCTACAAGCCTGCCTCCTGGCCGCCAGCACTCAATCCATCTCTTTCCATGAGTCTAGAGTCCTCAGTTGTTCCCTCTCTCCATGTCCTCATCTCTGCCTCCATCTCTGGTGTCGCTGCTTCTCTGGATTGGGTCCCACATTCCGCTTGTGCTCATCTTCCTTGATGGTCCTAGGGTCCTCTGTTTCCGGACTATAAGATTAACTACTACCCCATTTTTTAATTTGCTTCATTTTAATACTTCGTGTTTGGTAAGGTAGAGGGTCAGAGAACAAGAGGAAGACCCCCAGCGAGATGGATTGGCCAAGTGGCAGCATCAATGGGCTCAAGCGTGGCAACAGTAGTGAGGTTGGCCCAGGATCAGGCAGTGTTTCGTTCTGCTGTGCATAAGGTCACTATGAGTCGGCACTGACTCGATGGCACCTAACAACAACAACAACAATACTTCATGGAGTACTGATGTAGACTGCTAACTGCAAGGTCAGCGGTTCAAACCCACTGTTGGCTCCTAGAAAACCCTTTACGGGTTTCCGGACCAATCCAATAGCACTTAGCAGCTGGAGTATTTGTCCTTTTGTGACTAATTTATCTTACTCATCATAATGTTGTTAAGGTTCACTGTGTTGTATCATGAATCAGAACATGATTCCTCTTGATGGCTGATACAGTGATTGCCAAATGGGCTCAAATATAGCAACAATTGTGAGGCTGGCACAGGACCGGGCAGTATTTCATTCTGTTGGACACAGGGTCCAAACCAATTCAACGGCACCTAAATATAACATCATTCCATTGTATGGATGGGCTGTGTTGTGTTTATCCATTCATCTGCTGGCGGACACTTGTAGCTATTGTGAACAGCGCTGCAGTGGACACTGATATACCAGTATCTGTTTGAGTCTCTGCTTTCAATTCTTTGGGGTATTTACTTCACTGTGGAGTTGCTGAGTCATATAGTAGTTCTATGTTTAACTGTTTGAGGAACCACCAAACTAATTTCCAAAGTTGTTGTTGTTAGGTGACATTGAGTCGGTACCGACGCATAGTGACCCTATGCACAACAGAATGACACACTGCCTGATTCTGGGCTAACCTCACAATTGTTGCCAGGCTTGAGCCCCTTGATGCTGCCCCTTGGCCAATCCATCTCGCTGGGGGTCTTCCTCTTGTTCTCCGACCCTCCTCCTTACCAAACCTGATAGCCTCCCATGGTAGCAGGTCCATTTTACAGTTCAACCATCCACATATGAGGGTTCCAATTTCTTCATATCATTGCCAATACCTGTTATTTTTCTTATTTTTAATAATAATAGCGACCCTAGTGAATGAGAAGTGGGATTTTGTTGTGAATTTTCTTTGGATTTCACTGATGACTCATTTTGGCTCAGGTTTAGTTCCAAGGGGGACCCTTCAACTGCAGGTAACCCGGGCCAGCCTTATGTGGTTTGGTGAATCTTGAATAATCTCTTTGATTATTTATTTTACTGGGGTGAAAATAGGACACATAACAAAACATATGCCATGCAACAGCGTCCTCCTGTACAATTCAATAACATGGTTCACGTTCTTGAAGACGTGTGCTCAATCTTGCTATCTATTTCCAAACCATTCTACCACCACCGACATAAACTCACTGTCCCTCCAAACAAAAAACTCCTTCTGGTCACCACTAATAATCTTTGATTTCTATGTGTTTGCTTATTTCATATAAGTGCAATCATAGAGTGTTTGGCCTTTTGTGACTGATTTCTTTCACTCAGTAGAATGTTTTTAAGGTTCACACATGCTGTTGCTTACAACAGGACTTCATTTCTCTTTACGGCTGTGTATAGACCATTGTATGAGTGGACATTTGAGTGGTTCCCAACTATTGTTTGTTGTGAGTGTTGCAATGTGCACTAGTACACAAGTCTTGGGCTGCATCCCTTCCTCTGTTCCTTCTGGGTGTAGACCTAGGGCTGGAATTACAGGGTCAGATGGAGGTTCTATGTTCAACATTTTGAGGAGCCAACAGAATTTTCCACAGCAGCTGTACTACCATTTTTGAATAATATGTTTGCCATTTTAATTCTGTTCAATCAATACCTGCCTTCTTCAATCAGCAGGATTCCAAACAAAGTGCTCAAATTTAAAAGGTCTTCTTCAAGATCCAAGTAAGTGTCAAAGACAGTTAAATTATGCCCAGCTGCTTTGTAAATGTGCAGCGCTCCTACCAGTGAAATTGTTGATGTTCAAGGCTGCAGTTAAGGAGCTCTGGTATCGTAGTGGTTATAAATCAGGCTGCAAACCTCAAGGTCAGCAGTTCAAAACTACCAGCTGTTCTACGGGAAAAAGATGAGGCTTTCTGCTCCCATAAAGATTTACAGCCTTGGAAAACAGGGTCGCTGAGTTGGAACCAACTTCATGGCACATCACGATGATGACGAAGGCTGCAGTTAGACTGTGAAGATTCAGTTATTCGCAGAATGTGAACCCGGAGGGTGGTAGCACATAAACCCTTCCCCCTGCCCTTTGTCTTCTCTGTGTACCCCATCACTCCCTCTTGTCTGACCCCCCCCAGCAGATTTAGCCATGCCCCTATCTACCTTGCCTCGAATGGGCAGTGACTCCTTGCTGCTGAAGACCCAGGCTCCCCTGGGTGCTACTGCTGACCACCTTCGGGCCTCCGATGGGCAGCTTCATGCCAAGGCACCCTCCAAGCCCGCCCGGATACCCTCTCAGGCACAGTCTGAGGCGTCTGAATGCTCCCCAACATACTGTGAGCTGGTGCCTCGTATGCCCAGTACCCAGGGAACCCCTGCTGGCCAAGACTGCCCAGAGACTCCTTGGTGGAAGGCCTGTGAGAAGGAAGATGAGAAAGATAGAACTTTCCAGAGACCTGAGGCTGAGGTCTCTTTCTGTTCCACTGACACCCCATTCTGCCTGTTGAGCCCCCAAAACCAGCCCCTGGAACCTGGGGTCCTACACACTCTCCGGAGTATGTTCCTGGAGCACCCTCCAGAGAGCACCGCCCTTCACCTGCTGTTGGTGGACTGCCAGGTGAGTCACCTGCGGGTGACAGGTAAGGAAGGGGACTTTGGGCCCAGTTGGCACCTCACACCTTGTAGTAATTCTGGTCTGGTCACTAGAGCTCCCTGCTTTTCTTCCCCACCCCCCACCCCCCAGACCACAGGCCTTCTGGGAATGACCAAGATGCAGAGGCGGGCCATGAGGGTCGACTCTGGCTTGGAGCTGCTCACATTGCCTCATGGCCATCCCTTAAGATTGGAGCTCTTGGAGAGGTGAGCGGCAGCCTAGAACCTTCTCCCCTCCCCCAGAGTCTCCAAATCGGTCTCCCTTCGTCACCCTCCCCCCTTCTCGGAAGGAGGGGGAAGGGCAAGGCCGCCTCTGATCCCCTCTCATTTCTGTATCACAAATCCCCCCAACTGCCCCCAGACCCTTGCCCTCACGTCTGCAGGCAGGAGGTGTTGGCGCTGGTCGGAGCGCTGACAGTGCTGGGTTGTGCGGGGCCGTTGGAGGAGCGTGTGGCCGCGCTCAGGGGCCTGGTGGAGCTGGCGCTGGCTCTGCGACCAGGAGCGACGGGGGACCTGCCCGGGCTGGCCGCGGTCATGGGCGCCTTGCTCATGCCCCAGGTGTGCAGGCCTTAGGGCTAGGGAGGGGCTGTATGCAGGAGATTGGGGCGGGGAGGCAAACGCTGGTCTCCTCCCGTGCCCTCAGGTGTCCAGATTGGAGCGCACGTGGCGTCAGCTCAGACGGAGCCACACGGAAGCAGCGCTGGCCTTCGAACAGGAGCTGAAGCCACTGATGCGGGCGCTGGACGAGAGCACAGGTGACTGGTGGTTTGCAGCTAGCTTTGCTTGTACTTCCAGACCTACTCCATTGGGACCCCAAAACCGGTCCTCGCCTTAGGCCCAGCCTATGACTCAAGTTCAGCTCTCTGTACTGGGTTCCATCCACTAATTCTGCCCCCAATCCACGCACTCTTAATCACCCCAATAGAGCACCGGTGTGGCGCTGTGGGTTAATGATCTGGACTGCAAAGTCGGTTTAAACCACAAGCTCGGTGGTTCAAGCTCACCAGCCGCTCCTCGGAAACCCTATACAGGGTCGCTATGAGTCGGTACCGACTCGATGGCACCTAACAACAACTAGGCTTCCCCACCTAGCTCTCTATCCTAGGTTCCACCCACTGCCCAAGGCCCTACCTATAACCCTGGTTCTCCACTATGCTAGGCTCCTCCCTTTACTTTTCTGCTCCAATTCCTGCCCCCTATTTCTCAGTCCCCACCCTTGCTCCTAAGAAGCTCTTGTAGAGTAGTGGTTTAAGAGTCGGGCTGTCAACCTCAAGGTCAGCAGTTCGAAACTACCAGTGGTTCCACGGGAGAAAGATGAGGCGTTGAAACCCTGTGCAGGGTCACTATCATGGTACTTAACAACCCTTGTTCCTATTCTAAACTCCACCGTCTGTGCCTGGCCCCGCCCTTGCCTAGGTCCTGCTCCACCCTGTATGCCCTCCGATCGCGGACCAGTAGTTTCTCCTAACACTTGGTTCTGTCCTAAGCCCCGCCCCTCCCCTGGCCCCGCCCATCTGTCCCAGCCCATTCCCGCCCCCTCCGTAGGACCCTGCGTGCCCGGCCTGGTGGCGCTGCCACACGTGGCGCCCGTGGTGCGCCTGCTAGAGGGCGAGGAGATACCGGGGTCGCCGGATGAGAGCTGTGAGCAGCTGCTACGCACCCTGAGTGCGGCACGTTGCATTGCCAGGGACGCGCCCAGGTTCCACGAGGTGGCAGCTCAGCGCCTGCGAGGTGAGCGTCTCCTCCCCGCCTGCGCCGGGTCCTGACTCCAGGAACACCCTATCTGCCTCAACCGGTTGCACTACCCAACCTGGTCAGGGGACAGCACGCCCGCCACGTTTCCCAGAGTCCCCTCATATTGGGATGGCCTCACCCCAGGAGGCCTTATACTACCAATTCTAGTACTAACAGGGACTGTACCTCCGACTCTGCCCCTAGAGCCACACCCACGGAGCCCCACCCATCCTTCCCAATCGGAACAGGCCCACCCCAGAGCACCAGGATCCCAAGAACACCCAGATCCCCCTAAAATGACCTAGTAGGTGCACAGCGCCCCACCGCTCCTATCCTGGGGCAGCCCCGTCTCCAGAGGCATTCCCGTTTGACCTAGTCTAACCAACCCCTAACCTGACCATCCTGGGTGGGGCCACAAGAGTCTCTACCCTGGGGCAGCCCCGCTACTCCCACTGATGCCCTGTGGCCCCCGACCTGGGGCAGAATCCTTCCTGGCCACTATTGGTTCAGGATCCCTAAGGAAGGGCGGGTGTTGAAGGGGAGAGGCCTGTGTCCAGCCCCGCCTCCAGCCCGCCTGCTTCCTCCTTCAGGACTCCAGTTGAATCCCAAGCTGAGGGAGGCTCTGACGACCAGCTTCCTGAAGAGGCTGCTCTGGGGGAGCCGAGGCGCGGGGTTGCCACAGGCTGTACGCCTGGAGAAGTTCCAACGTTTCCTTAGCACCTTGTCGCAGCGCCTGGAGCCCGACGGCTGAGAATGTGGCCCTGTTCATCACACCTGGGACCCCACTATAGAAAAAAGGAAGTGACCTCAGGCCCCTCCTCAGCCACAGTCAGTGGGGATCCACCTCCTCCCCCACATTAAGGGGGGCCCAGTCTTGCTAGAACTCATGTTCTACACTGTAACAAGACCCAGGTGTTTGGAGGCTCTGGATACTTCTGCCCACCTGGAAAAATCTCCTATCTTTCAATTCCGTATCTCCACGAACTTTATGATACCCCCTCATGTATATATTCCAACTCACCAGCCGGTCCCCGGAAATCGTATACTGGGTCGCTATGGGTCAGAACCAACTCGATGGCACTTAACAACATATATCTATGGACTATGGACTTCTGGTGTGATGTTGTAGGATAATTACTGAACTGTGAACCACAAAGTCAACAATTCAAACTCTCCAGCTGTTACTCAGAAATCCTGTACAGGGTCACTATGAGTTAGAATTGACTCTGGCACTTAACAACATGCATATGAGTTTTGCAGTAGGTTAAGCATTGGGCTGCTAATCACTAGGTGAGCAGTTTGAATCCACCAGCCACTCCAAAGGAGAAAAATAAAGCTTTCTACTCCCTTAAAGATTTAAAGCCCTGGAAACCCTATACAGGGTCACAATGAGTCAGCACACAACCACCACTATGTATGTATATCTCCTAGTGTGGAGTTGGATAAGCACTAGACTGCTAACCACAAAGTTGGCCATTCAAATCCACCAGCAGACCATCGGAAGCCCTATACAGGTTCACTGTGAGTCAGAACCGACTTGATGGCACTTAACAAACACAAAGTTGGGACAACCAAGGTCCCTGGAGACCACAGTAGGGTACAGTGGACACATGGTTTGTGGTACGAGAAACTGAAAGATAGTGCATCAGAAGTCAGCTCCAATATGACCCCGCCTCTTTAAAAGCTATATGACGTCTCAAAAATGGCCTGCCCTCTCTGTGCCTGCCTGCAACATTATTGTGAGACCATGTACTTCCCTAGGATGGTTGTGGGAATGAAAGCTCAAATGTTTAAATGAGATGAAGGCTGGAGGATTACCTGACGCACAGTAGCTGTTCCATGCAACCTGTTCTAGATGCTGCGCAGCACATAGAAGGGATAAAGTCCAATGTCCTCCTAAGCCAGCTCCCTGGGGATCACAGTTTGCTCAAGGACTCTGGCCCACATCTGCCTTCAGGACCTTCCTCATGGTATGGCCTGAAGGAGGGCATGGATGGGGGAGCCAGCCCAGAGTAAGCCCCGACTCCAAGAATTTTTTTTGATCATTTGTTTTTATATATAAAACAAACCTGCCGCAGCTGAGTGACAGGAAGAAAAGATCTAACACACAAGTATGTACATTGGTGGTAAAAGGCACAGCGGGTCCACGTGGGTTGGGGGTGGTGGGGGGCAGCAGGTTACACAGGTCTCAGCCGAAGCCAGGGGGGGCAGAAATAAAGTGCGTAGGTCCTGGGGCCCCCCATGGCCCAGAAGCAGCAGCCAACAGCCCCCCTCTCTTCCCGTTCCTGGCTCAGTTGAGTGTGACGCGGAGGTAGGAGGTGGGCACGTAGCCCTCTCCGCCTTGTTTCCGCCTGACACGTGTCCAGCCATCTCCCTTGTCCTCCTCCATGAGGCTGAGGTCTTCTCCCTCCTCCATGGATATGGTACCCTCGCTGGATCCTGTCGTGGCGAGGGGTCCCAGTCAGCTTGACATGAATGTGACTGGAAACAAGTCACGGACACCCCACTCCACCCACAAAAAACACGCATGTCCCCCAAGCCCACGACAGCCATCCTCACCTTCAAAGTGATAGATGGCCACACAGTGACCTATGGGAGAGACAGGCTCCTCCTCAAAGTCCTCATCGAACTCCGTGTAGATGGGGGTATCCTGACCCTCTTCCGAGGGGGGCCCTTCGGAGCTGGTTGGGAGAAGAAGGGAGGTGAAGCCAGTCCTCCAGCGTCCCTGGGGCCAAGCCATGGACTGGCCTCCTCCTGACTCACCTTTCTTTGTTGTCCTGTGAGCTGTTGTTGCTGTCGTCAGGGGGGGCGCTAACTGGAGGGTCTGGAGGCTGGGCGTGGCGGCTTAGGCTATCCCCCCGGTTACTCAGTACCCGGCTCTCAGCTTCTGCTAGCCAACCCTGAGAGGAGGGGCGTGACAATCGTCCTCAGCAGACTACAGGGTCAGCCCAGCTCAGGGACTGGAGGTTTGTTGAGGTCATCCATGCACACCCAAGGCGGTGATGGGAAACAGCTGCCCCCGTCCCCCTACACCCAGCAGTGTGACTCAGCCCGGCCTGCCCGCCCCCCCAGGGGCCCCCACTGTTCCTGCCTTTACCTCATACTTCTGCACTTCTAACTTGAGCCGTTCGATATTGCTCAGGGTTTCTGTGATCCTGGGTTCCAGGCTGGCGGGGTCTCCCATCTGTGGAGTCTTTTCATAAACGTCCTTCATTTTCTTCAGGGCTTCCCTAGGGCCAGATGGGCGGGAAACGAGCCCGTGTGACAAGACTAGCAAAAACTCAGGGCTTGGCTTCAATCGAACGAGTAGCAAGATAGGACAGAGGTTTCCAGCCCAGATGCAAGTACTTTTAGTACCAGATTTCAAATCCCAGCTGGAGCTTTTCCAAACTCTGTAAGCTGGGAGGAAGTTCATGCCTCCATAAGCTAGTCTCACAGCAAGGGCCATGACATTGCCTGTGTATCTACCCCACACCAAGGAGCCCCTGTTGGCACAGTGATTAAGCGCTTGGCTGCTAACCGAAAGGTAGGTGGTTCGAATCCACCCAGTGGCTCTGTAGTAGAAAAAGACTGAGTGATCTGCTCCCATAGAGATGAACCTTGGGAACCTTATGGGCAATTCCACCCTGCCCTACAGGAACATGAGTAGGCATGGACTCCACCTCACATACACATCCCTCATGGAGCTGGTGTGAGGGTTAGGATGGCCCTACACACAACAGTGGAACCACAGTCCGGCCCTGTGCCGTCCCCATGATCAGCTGGGGATCAGACCATTGGGACCCACAGGGTCTTCGCTGGCTGAATTTCAGAAGTCAATTCCCAGGCCTTTGAGCCTACTCCATCTTGAGTATGGAAACTCTATTGAAACATGTTCAGCATCCCAGCAACATGCCAGGAATCGAACCCAGGTCCTGCACAGGTGAGAACTCTGCCTCTGAACTACGGATGCCCCACTGCGTCACAGAAAGTCCTGGCTAGGACAGATTCATTCAAATACTTATTGAGCGCCCACTGAATACCAGGCACTGGTGTCTCAGCACCATAAATGTGGTGGTGGTGGCTGCGTGCTGTGGAGTCGGTTCCGACTCATAGCGACCCTGTACAGGGTTTCTGAGGCTGTAAATCTTTACAGGAGCAGAATGCCTCATCTCTCCCGCGGGACAGCTGGTAGTTTCGAACTGCTGACCTGTGGTTCACAGCCCGATTCGTAACCACTACGCTACCAGAGCACCTTAATGTAGTGCCATGTATTTGGAGTTCTTGTGTGGTGCAAGATCAATGCTGGACTGCTAACCACAAGGTCAGTGGTTCAAACCCACCAGCTGCTCCTCGGAAACCTTATTCAGGATCACTATGATTTGGAACCGACTCAACTGCACTTAACATATATATACCTTGAGACTGTGGCCCTTAGACACCCTTCAAGCCTGGACCTGAACTCACCCATGTGGCTCCATTGCCAGGCAGACAGGCCTATCCGGTAAATAATGACACCAGGGAGGGCTGTACTCCTTACAACAGACAACCATACAGACCCAAAGGGCAGCATGTGCTCAGGGAGAAACCTCCGAAGGCAAGAAGCGATAGGAAAGAAGGAAGACCAGAAATGGTAAACAAGGCGGTGGGGGCTGCAATCAGGGCCACAAAATGAAATGTGTAGGAACTGTTGAAGGGAAAACCAAATTGCTCTGTAAACTTCCATCCAAATCAATTATAATAATAACAGTAATAATGTAGCACTATAAATGGAGTCCTGGCGTGGCGCTGTGGGCCAATGCGTCACACTGCAAAGTCGTTTGAACTACAAGGATGATGGTTCAAGATCACCAAGCTGCTCTTTGGAAACTCTATATGGGGTTGCTATGGGTCAGAATCTACTTAACAACAACAACAATAAATGAATTCTATGAATTAGAAGGTGGAATCAGGATAGGAGGAAGGCTCATTAAAAACCTAGGATATACAGATGATCCAACCTTGCTCGTTGAAAAGTTGACAAGGGCTTAAAATACTTACTGATGAAGATCAAAGATCACAGCCTTTGGTATGGGCTGCAGCTCAATGTAAAGAAAACAAAAATTCTGACCACCGAACCAATAAACACTATCAAGATAAATAGAGCAAAGACTGAAGTTGTTAAAGACTTCGTTTTGCTTGGATCAACCATCAATATTCATGGAAGCGGCAGTCAAGAAATCAGACAATGTATTTGATTGCATTAAGCAAATCAGCTGCACAAGACCTCTTTAAAGTGTTGAAGACTTTGTCTTTCATACTTTGGACATATTATCAGGAGGGATCAGTTCCTGGAGAAGGCTATCATGTTTGGTAAAGAGGAGGGTCAGAGAAAAAGAGGAAGACAGAGATGGATTGGCACAGTGGCAGCAGCAATGGGCTCAAGTGTAGCAACAATTGTGAGGTTGGCACAGAACCGGGCAGTGTTTCATTCTGTTGTGCACAGGGTTGCTATGAGTCAGTACTGATTCGATGGCACCTACCAATGTCGGAACCGACTCTACTGCACATAACCACCACCACCACCACCACGACCACCACCAGCAATAAATGGAATCCTCGTGTGACGCTGTAGGATACGCACTCAACTACAAGTTCGGTTTGAACTGCAAAGGATCAAACTCATCAGCCACTCTTCAGAAACCCTCTACAGAGTCGTTATGATTTGGAACCGACTTGATGGCACTGAACAAGAGCAACATTATAAATAAGATGAGATCCTGGCTCTACTCA